CGCAGGTGGGGGAGGGGTCCTCTAGCAGCTGAAAGGACCCGCGTAGCTCAGGACCCGCGTGGGCGACCCGCCCGGGCTCTCTCCCCCCGGTCCCGGCCGGTCACCCTCGCCCCAGCTGCCCACGCGGGCCCCACCTCCGGCTCCGGCCAGTGGCGGCGACTTGGGCGCTGCGTGTGGGGTCTGTTGTAGCAACCCCGGGAGACCGCGGGGCGCCCAGGGCAGCCTCCGCCCGCCGCCCCGCCCCGGGCTGCGTGGCTCACGCACTCCCTCCTCCCGGTGAAACCCAGCGGACGAGAAAGTCCCCTGATTTCGTGAAGCTGGGATCATTCTGCTTGATTATCCCTAATGCAGCCGGCTTTCACCTGAGGATATTTCTATAGAATTCGGAAGTACACAGGCCGAATGCACATCAAAACGTTTGCAGAGCAAATAAAACTTTCTACCTTGGTAATACGCCCACATCTGCTCCCCAGGCCATCCAGAGGAGTGCAAAACTATGTCTCCCCCGACTGCCCTCCTAGCCAAGAAGAAAAGTTTGGGGGCGAGGGAGTGGGGAATAGCGAGTATTCAGAGCCAACTGCTCAGATGAGCCCCAAGGGAAAAAGCCACTTGGAGACGCCTAGGAACCCTATTACTAGGACTGAGTCACTGGCTTTGCCAAAGCCCGAAGGGGCCTGGCCGGAGCTTTGGGGCCCAGCTCTGAGCTGGCCATGCTCCGTTTCTTTCTCCCCAGTGCATGTGCCACCCACTGGCTGTCAATTATCTCAAGACTAATAGTTCTCAAGTAATTCTGCCCGCTAGGAGCTGTGAGTCTCTAAGTAAGCTTCTGAGGCCTCTGCATCCTGGGTTTTCTAATATTCTGGGGAAAGAGGGTATTTCCTGCCACCAGGATTTACAGTGGGAAGAGGTCGAGTGGAGTCTGGAGACCAACGCCAGCGTCCAGGCCACCTCTGAAACGCTGGAGCCTAACGTTGGCACATCCCAACTTGTGTGCCCTGCCCCCGCGAGGAGATTTTATATATTTTTTAAGTCAATCTTATAGGACATGCCTGAGAGATTTGCATGGGCCGGTGACTTCAACATACCAAAGGCAAAGTTAAATATTTGCTCTAGATAGTTTTTTTTTCCCCTGCTTGCATAATTGTCCCACATTTCAAAGAAGTCTTTAAAAGCACTTAGGTTAAAAAAAATTGTGTTTGGGGCCTGAATATTTCAGGACACACATGGAGTAAATATTGTAACTCCTGAGGGCAGCAGCCATGTGCAAACTTCTTTCTTTCCTCTGCTTCCTTAAGCATGAGACTTGATAAAATATTTGTCGAATGAATAAAGGTGGCATTCAATCAAATCCTAAAACAGGAAGGAGAAGCCCTGGCAGGATCCTGCAGGCATAATTTCCTTGACATGGAAGCTGGGGAGGTCCTGGGAGGAGTGGTGAGCGGAACATTCTGGGGTCTTCTGGGTTTGCCAGTGGTAAATCCAAGGTGTGCGTTGCAGGGATAGGGGTTGGGAATCTAACTTCCGGTGGTTACCCTCACCCCTGTCTGCCACCTCCAGAAAGCATGTAAGTTAAAAATATCTTTTGGGGGACCAGCAGGTGGTGTGGCGGTTAAGGTGCTGTACACTCCCAGGTAGCCGACCACAGTTCGAGTCCTGGACCTGGTGACTTGCTGTCTCTATTTCTCTCTCTCTTTCTGTGTCTCTCCCTGGTCAAATTAAAATGAATGAATAAATAAATAAAATTAAATAATTCTTTTTTAAAAATGATGTGTTTTCCTCTCCAAGCCCAGCTAGAAGAAATGTCTCCAAGAAGTTACCTTCCTCTAACCAGAATCCCACCCCCCCACTCCTTCCCAGAATTCCAGAACCACCGCTGCTAACAGCAAAGGAGGTGGCTGATTGGAATTCAGCTGTGAACACATGTCTGCTGTCCCCACGGAAGGCTCACGTGCCAATGGCATTCTGCTGTCTCCAAGAAATACTTCCCAAGGGACCCAGACCCTGCCTGTCCACCCAAGCGGTTACCCATTGGACCACCCCTCCAGTCCCTCTGGTTTGTTAACAAGAGCACTCTGTCAGGGCCCCCATCCTTTGGCATTTTAAGGACAGTATCCTGCTTCCGTCCTGGTTTCTTTGTGTCCCTTCAGAGATATCCAGTTCAGCCTTGTGCTCAGATTAAGTAGCATCCGCGGAGTCTTTAAAAACCTCTGGTGAAAAAGGTTGAGGATCAGAAAACACTGCAGCGGCCCCTTTCCTCACTCCTCAATATCCAGGGAGGGGAGCATTTCGGGTTGGGAGTAGCAGGATCCTCTCTCCCCCTCCCTCCTCCCTCCTCCCTCCTCAGCAGTCGGCCTGTCTCAGCTGCTAGTGGGGGCCCCATTTGAAGCAGGACCTCTCTCGGTATTGTCATTTCTGGTGGAGCCGCCCCGCCCCGTGCACATCACTGAGCACCCTGTTTTAGTTTCAGTTGAGGGAAAGGAGAAACCATTCTTTTTGCTTCTTAGTTTTAGAATTCCCCTGGTTGGTTTTTTTTTTTTTTTTTTCCCTGTTAACTGCCTTCCCTAGATTTCCCCAACATGTCTGAGGATGTGGAAGAAGAGATCAGAAGAGCTCACAGAGAGAACATGTTTTTTATCTGATAGTTTTTTTTTTTTCTAGGAAAGCCTTGAAACATGGAACCGTCAGCCACCACAGTTCTGGATTGCTCAGCGCGCCCTCCTGAGCACCCTAGGACTTCCCGGAAAGAGTAACTGTTTTACAGAGAACTAGAAACTGGGACACTGGACTGTTAAGGGACGAAACACATAACCACCTTTTCTGTCCTGGGAAAAACATTATAAATATTTTGTGGCTTAGATTAACCCAGATGCTCATTGCGTTCGGCAGCAGTCCTGTCCCTCTCCATGGGGGAGCGTGTGGCTTTGGAGCGGTGTAGAGGCCAGCACACAGACAAGGGTTCTTAGGCTGTCCAAGTGGGAATGCCCTAACCCAGTCCTTCATCTTACAAGTGGGAAGCCAAGACCCAGTGTTTCGGGATGGTTTCTGTGATGTCCAGGTTTTTGGTATTTCGGACAAAGAATTGGACGCAACATGCCAATAGTGAAAGCAGAAGGGTATTTTATTAAGGCAAAAGTACACTCCCAAGAGGTAGGAGTGACCCCACAGTTACGGTCTGTGAGGTTTATCATTTCTTAATGGAGGTCGTGTCATTTCATCCTTGGTTGGGCCCACCGATTGTTTTCCCCTCACTGACTGGCAAATGTGGCTAGGCCCACTGGTTTATCTCATTGGCTGTATCAAATGTGGCTTCATCAGCTAGATAGCCCCCACTGGAAGGAAATCTGCCCACATCTCTTCAGGTGGGGAGTTTTCTGCCCTGATCGTTTTTGGTTTTGTTTCTGTTTTTTTATCTAGCCACATAGGCAGATTCTCCAGCCCCTTTACCTGCTTATATTTTCTAGCTTTCTTCCTGCTTCTCCAAAGAGGGAATAAGGCCTGCCCAAGGACATGAAACTAAAGCCATGTAAGGGCAGACCTGCACAGGTGAAGCCAGGTAAAGGCAAATGTGCACAGGTGAAGCCAGGGGAGGGCAGGCATGCACAGGTGAAGCCAGAGAAGGGCGGGCATGCACAGGTGAAGCCAGGGAAGGGCGGGCATGCACAGGTGAAACCAGGGAAGGGCGGGCATGCACAGGTGAAGCCAGGTGTGTACAGGTGCTCCAGCCAGGAAGTCTGCCCCATTCTCTTCTCCCTGCCAGATTCTCCTATGTTCTTGCAATTTTTTCTACTTGTTTTCCACTACAGCAAAAGGTCCATTTCCGTTCTGTTTCCTCCGCACATCAAAACTATTGGAAAATTCACTTGTTTCTCCATAATTTCTAGGTCAGTCACATAAACCTATAAAATTCTCAGATTTTACAAATCCACCAACTCCTCCGCAGATCACTTCCCATGTGTCACATGACTTTTATTACTCACCATTAATTCTCCATGAGTTTATTTTTCATGGATTTGTTTTGAAAAGCCTCCTAGGATTTTGTCTGAAGATAAAGCTCAGGGACTGCTAACCTAGAGATCAGAAGAAAGGTTTGCTTCTCCTGGGATCTGACATGGTAAGAGAGGCTGTCTAAAGCCTTCCTACCAGACTGGAGCAGAAGGGTGTGGGGAGCAGCAGGCAGGAGAGTCCGGGTGTACAGAGAGGCTACTGGGCCTCCGGTCAGGCTGCAAGCCCTTTCCCAGGCCCACCTTCAGTGCAGTAGAGTCATTCTGCCTTCTCTTGGCCTTCTTCCAGGCCTCCTATGGTGGTGAGGATGCAGTCTGAAGAATGGAGAGTTAGTTCCCCCAGGGGCGTGTCTCAATCACCATGGAAGCAGCTAGAAGTGAGGAGGCGGAGATGCCCAGCCTCAACCCCTGGGTGAACAGTCCTGCCGAGGGGCATTCTTGAGCACCTACGAAGTGCCTCTGGAGCCTTCATGGCGGAGACCCAGACAAAACTCCTATTTGGAGGGATCTCCTCCTATGTGTCTGTCTTACCCTGTTATTCACTCCTGCTTACTGGTTTCACCTCCAACCACAGCAGCCAGCATCTAAGTCCTCATTTCAGGAAGCACTTTTAAAGAAGTCCAAAATAAAATTTAAAAATTGGGACCAGCAGTTGGCATAATGGCTATGTCGCTGGACTCCTATGTAGTTGACAACACTTCTAGTCCCAGACCTGGTGGCTTAAACTCATGCCAGTCACGTGTGCATGCACGCTCAAGATCCTGAGAGGAGAATGGAGGAGAAGGGACTGCGACATGGCCATCCCCCCTGGGGAGTGAGTTCTCGCTTTCGCTTTCTGTCTCTCTTCTCTCTCCGTCTCTCTGGCAAGTGTACACGCCGTAGAGCAAAAAAAAAAAAAAAAAAAAACCTCTCCAAAA